CGCTCGTCCCCCCTTGCGATGTATGGGGGGGGGGGGTGGAAAGGGTGGTCGCGCGACAGCTTCAGGATCCTGGAGGAAACGGATGGGGTTAGTTAGGATGGGGGGAGTTCATCCATCCTTGCTCTTCTTGACCTCTCAGTGGCTTTCGATACCATCGACCATGGTATCCTTTTGGGTGGGCTGCAGGAGTTGGGGCTGGGTGGCACAGCGTTGTGCTGGCTCAGTTCCTTTCTCCAAGGCCGAACCCAATTGGTGTTGATAGGGAGCGAGAGGTCCAGCCCCTACTTTGTGGGGTGCCTCAGGGTTCGGTGCTTTCACCGCTCCTATTTAACATCTACATGAAACCGTTGGGTGAAATCATCCGGCACCATGGGATGAGGTATCATCAGTATGCTGATGATACCCAATTATACATCTCCAACCCAAGTGCCTTAAGTGACGCTGTGACTGCCCTCTCTCGGTGCCTGGAGGCTGTGGGGGCCTGGATGGGGAACAACAGGCTTCGACTGAACCCTGGTAAGACAGAGTGGCTGTGGGTACGGGGAGCCTCAAGATCTAGGAGTTTGTCATCTTTGGTTCTTGATGGGGTTGCACTACCCCAGACAGACCCGGCGCGTAATCTGGTGGTCCTCCCGGACTCACGAGTCCTGCTCGAAGAGCAGGTGGCAGTCGTGCCTAGGAAGGCCTTTGCATGACTTCGTGTTGTGTGGCAGTTACGCCCCTTCCTGGATCAGGAAGCCCTCTGCATGGTCACCCATGCCTTGGGCACCTCCGGGGTGGATTACTGTAACACGCTGTACATGGGGCTACCCTTGAAGTGTATCCGGAAGCTACAGCTGGTGCAGAATGCGGCAGCGCGGACAGTTCTCAATGCCCCTAGAAGGACACATATAACACCGCTGTTGCGTGAGCTGCATTGGTTGCCAGTTTGTTTCTGGGTCCAAGTCAAGGTGTTGGTCATCACCTTTAAAGCCCTTCATGGCACAGGACCAGGTTATCTGAGGAACCGCCTCGCCCTGGTTATTTCAGCCCGCCCCACTCAGTCCAGCAGAAGGGTCAGGTTGCAGACCCCACCAGTCAAGTAATTTCAATTGGTGGGGTCTAGACAGAGAGCCTTTTCTGCTGTGGCTCCTGCCCTAGGGAACATCTTGCCTTCCGATGTCTGGTGTCCTCATGGCCTTCAGAAAAGGGGTTAAATCCTGGCTCTGCCAGAAGGCCTGGGGGCTGGATGGGGGCTCGCATCTGTGGAGATGGCTGGTGGGGTGATGGGTTT